GCTTGAGGTAGACATAGAAAAATTGAGCCTAAAATTTGGCCGTAAAGACTAACAACATTCAAAATAAGTAAAGCACCTTTAGCTAATGGAAGTCATAAAATAACCTTGATTTCATAGTGGTTATTACTGATACTTGCTATAATACGTTTTCATCAAAAGAATGGTATTGTAGGAATAACTAACTACAAGTTTGAAGTCTGATTCTAATGTACTGATTTGTTTGTACAAAGAGATTAAAGTATGACTAAAGAAATGGAACGTGCTATTACGTGTTGTCATTCAACAAAGTGACCTGTAATCACCACTGCATTCTTTAAGTAAACAGCTTTGAAAATACACACTGGAAATAGCCTAGCATGTTTATCTTTCATAACATCCAACCAGATTTAACAGTAAAGTTTTTACTAAATTAGATTACGTTCACATCAGATAAAGCTTCTGTAAATGCATTTTCAGTAACCTGGGAAAGTATTATGTGAATACTACCATCAAAAGTAGGCATGCCAGAAAGGTATTTACGTACTGATGCTGTAGATGACACATGATCTTTTGCTGCCGAATTTTGAGCTTGTAGACATGCTTTCTATAGTTTCATTTTTCTCCCCAAAGTGTCATAGCTGTCCTTTAATATTTTTGTTATTTGAAGTTCTCTTTTGTATTAAATGATCTATGTGCATTGCTCGTATGGTCTTTTTTGAGTGAGAAAGTAAAAGATCAAAGAACTTGTGCATATAGGCTTAAAAAAATCAGGATGTAGAGCAAATCAAACTGAAGAAATTTGTATGTGTATTCAATTTAAGTAATCACTATGGAGTACTTGAATTGCATGTGAGCTTTTACTTCCGTTTTCTGCAAACTTTAGAAGTGTATGATTATTACTGGAATCAAGACCTAACTTACTAAATCAGTAACAAAAATAATTAGTTATTTTCCTTTAACAGCCTACTTTCTAAAGGTAGAACAAAAGAATGAGGTCTGAGATCTTGAATTGTGGAAAAAGGTAAAACATTGTTCCTAATAGTCACCAACAGTTCATGACTACCTCAGTGCAATTGCTTTTCAAGTAAGATAGCATACCTTGGCATGAAAAGAAGGGTACTGAATTGGTATTTCGAGCTCAGGCTCTTTTCAGTTCTGTGAACACTCTCTGAAATTATTTGTTTGAGGGTCACTTATCTGGAATTGCTTTGTATTTCTGTATTAACCCCAATGCTCGACTTCTTCCTTTTTGTTCTTTTTTTTTTTTTTTTTTTTTAATTCCAGTGTAATATACATCATATCATAAGCTTTCACTGGTCCGCATCTTTTACATTTAATAGGGAGGAAATGCAGATACCTATGCTTCTAGTTTGGGCACACTGTAATTTATTTTTAGTTGCATTATATACGTAGCTCAAGAAGTGGGAAGGATGAGAATGAGGCCTCTTGCCTAGGTCTAACTGTTGAGCTAAATTGAACTTAAGTTGGTGGACTGAAAAATACTGCTCTTCAGTGGAAGAGAGCTTACGATGTATGTAACCTGAGGAGTTTTTAGAAACTGAACTTCTTAAAAAGAATATTTTGCTTCTCCAGTTCATTATGACGGACATGAATTTATATTGAACTTTAAACTTGTTCAGCTTCAGCAAAAGTAGCTGCTCTACAGTAGCCCAGTCTTCAAAGCATTGGCCTTGAGAACTTAATATTGTTATGCCTCTTGAGAAAGAGAGTCTGAACTCTATGTATCCAACAAATTAGGCAAAAAAACCCCAAGCTGTTGCAGGCGAGCTGTTGATGTGTGCTTGATTAACCTTTGGTAAGACATAGCACCTAAGGGCAATCACTATAGAAAGAATTTGCAGAATATTGAAGTAAACTTGCTAAATGTGGTGTAATTGTTCACCAGCCTTACCCTTGCCTCTCTATTTAGTCTTTTCTCATCTCCTTATGCAATGTGAGTGCTCTCTGCTGTTGGAGTTCTCAGCTTACTCAGTGCTTATACCAGTAGCCATAAATGATCTGTTTCTCACCTAATGCTTTTCATGTTCTATTGCAGTAAGAGAACAAAGCACTGCTGCCTGTGTTCAGTTGAAAACCTTTCTGGACGGAGAGCTTAAGGACAGCACTGTAGTTGGGCTTGGGATTTCGCAGTCCCAAACTTAATCTCTTTCTAGGTTGTACCATCTTGAAAAATCTAGTGCTAAATCAGCCTTGTGAAGTTACGTGCTCCTTTTAATATGCGCTATTTTTTTCAACTATACAAATAAAAGAGGACTCTTCTCTTACTATAACTTTTAATAATTGCTGAAACATGTAATATTCTGTAGGGTTGGAGCTGATGCACTTTTGAAGAATTTTTTATTTCCTGTTTTGTTTGAGCTTGTTGCCCAGAACCACTTCATGATGATAATCTCTGTTAAGCACACATTATTAACAACGTTATTGCCATGTAGCTAACTTCAATTCGTTGTACAGTAGTAAGAATAACAATGGAAGTCTGTAAATATAGGTTTTATGTGTAATAATGTGTTGATGAAACCTGCACTTTATCTTACAGCTATTTCAAGATGACGTTGCTAACATCTACTTTTATATTATGTTTCCCAAGTAGATAGCATTGGGAAATACTCAAGGTGAATTCATGCGTGGCCCAGCTATTACAAAGACTTCATATTCACAGTTGTATTTTCTAGTATGGAGTTGCCTCAATGTGGTGCAGGAATGTATAATTAGGGAAGGATAATGAAATGTGCTGTTGACAGAAAAGTATGTTTGGCATCTCAAATGCTGACCTCTGACATCATTAGACTTCTGAAGTTTTGATATAAAGATAGTAAAGTGGCTTATCTAGGTTTATTAGTTAGCACTCTGACATACTACGTTTTTATATTGTGCTTTTTTTTAATGCTTTTGCACAGCAATGGCAAACGTTTTCAACTTTCTTATATGTTTGTGGCAACTGTTTGTAATTCATTTGTCATTCTCATTAAGGTTCCTGCAGTAGAAGAAAATAAGGCTTGTTCATACTAATTTGGAAGATCAAAGCATGGCATAGAAACAATTTACCAACAAACCAAAGCTGCCTCTCAAACACACCTACATTTTGTAGAGTTGTTTAAAAAATACATGTTAGTTAAAAATCTTCTAGTTCTTAGAAAAATGTAAATTAATGGAAACAAAAAGAAGTAAATACATACAGGCAGTTTGTTCTCCCAAATGTTAAATCCACATTTCCTTTAAATGGCTTCCATTTCCCTGTGAAGCTTTTCCATAGTTGGTTTTATTATCATTCACAATGCCCTGATATGTAGGTTTTTCTGTTTTTTCCTGTAAATACTTAGAATACTGTATGTGAGCAAAATAATTCAGGTAGGATTTTGAAATATAAAAAAACCCAGATGGTTCTGTCTCAAGTATTTCATCTTTCCTTTGTTGCTCATGTTTTACAGAGTGCGTATTAACTATTTTCATCTCATACTCTCCTTCCTAAGTCAATAAATAACTTCCCCTGCAGAAATGTAGAATGTTTAATGTTCTGTGTCACAAAAAAAAAAAAATCTTAAAATATACTTAGCTCTTTCCACCATTTGTAATAAAATACAGTAGTCCTTTGTCAACACTATAGGAAGACTGCTGAAGAACAGTTGGAGCAACAGTTTAGACAAATACCTATTAATGGTTTTCCTTTTCACCTATACATCTCTGACAAAGCGAATCTAATAAATGGTAGCCAGCAAAGGGATAGCTTTCTAAATGAATATTGTTTTGCAGTGTATTGATAGTCTTCATGCAAGTATTCACTTAAGTATTTAATGATCACTTTATTATCCAGTGAGAAATAATTAGTAAAACACTTATTTTACTTAATATTTGGTACATTTTTTCAATATTGGTCCCATGAATCATCTTTGGGTGTAGCCGTTAAACCTAAGAAAAATCCGTATTTCTGCTCTTAGAAAAGAGGTAGATGTGAAGTGCCCGAGTCTGATCTTGGGCCTTAAAGCTACAGCTTTTATTTGTGGGATATGGAAAAATAGAGCTCAAGAGTTTGAGCTGTATAACCATTAACAGTTTCCTTAGACCTACTTTGTATTATAATCACTTGATATTAATAAGTTTAGCTTTCTTTGAATAACAAAGTAAAATGGAGTCTGGGTTCTCAGATCAAGTACTGCGTTGCCTGATGCAGCTTTTCAGGAGCATGGTGCTAGCAGCATCTGCCTGCTCAATAAGCTGAATATTCTACAGCCTTGACCTCGTGAGTTTTTTGTACTGTTGGTATTCTTAAAGAAAGAGGGGTCAGTTTCTGTCTTTTTAACACTGACTTGACTTGCCTGCACTACAATCCTTTTTCTTTAATATACCTGACTGACTATATATAATATGTATGATTCCATTTAGTACTAACACTTTATTGCATTTTTCTTCTATTAGCACACCCATGCAACATGACAGTTTGTTAGTCACTTTAGAAACAGCTTTATATGAACCACAATCTTAAAGACAAAAGGCAGCAGAGCTTAGTGTTGATAATAGCATATTTTAAGTTTTGTTGGCCTAAAAAGTCAAGATAACACAGATTTCCCTCTCTTCCTTTCAATGAGATTATGATAGTATGAGAGCTAAAATAAGATGATTTAACATCTTCTCTTCACAAAGCTGTTTTTGAATTCTAAGTGAGCAAATTAATTTAGTTTTAAAATGCTTCCAAGTGGGAAGAAGGCAGGATATTAATGAACAGAAAAATCTTTGGAGTATTCCATAGGCATCAGGCAGAAAAATGTTTTAATCCATCTTTGTTTCATCTAGCACTGTTATTGTATCATATTACGAGAAGTGTGATGACTGTTTGTATAGGAGGTCTCAAGTAAGGTTGATCTTCGCCTCTGAAGAGAGGAGGCTGCTGACAACATTGGATAAGTGTACAATACAAATGTGACAAAGCTTTGAAATAAACTTTTTATGACAGTACGGTAAATGAAATATGATAGCAGCTGTATCTCACATTTTCTTTCTTGCAGGATATCTTGAATAATCTTGATTCATGTGATCTTGAAGATGATGATCTCATGCTTGATGTGGACCTGCCTGAGGACCCACCTCATGACAAAGGTTAGTAAATTAGCCAAGCAATCTTATTGTGAAACTGCATTATAGGCTTAAGAGACCTGAGTTACATTGTTCTGACTTGTGCTCTAATAAGCCAACGCACTCTTCAAATTTGTTTTTTCTTTAAGTAACAACTCTCTTCTGAAATATAGGAAGTGTGATGTTTCTGTTCCCCCAAATACAACTCTTGCCTTTGAAGAATTCTAAAATTAGACATTTACTGCCTTTTATAAAAATGCAACCTTGTTGCACACTGTTTCTTTAAATTATTTTAGTAGAATTAATTTCAAACTTTTAAGTTAGTCCTTCAATCTCATGCTTCAGCTATATTTGAAAATGTTGGAAAAGCATTTTTTTCAGCTTTGGTGAATGACAATGTACTTCTTTTTGAGATAATTATTTGTTTTCTTCTACAAAATGACAATATGTCTTAATATATTTTATACAATTCAGGATAACAAAAGCCTTCAGATTTAAGATGTGTTCTTTTCAAGATGTCTTTTATGCACTCTTATTGTCAGTGAGGATGCTGGCAAACTTTTCACAAGGAGGTTAGTGGTACCTAGATGCCACTAAAATAATACAAATCTAGACTAGAATGAACTGGATAAGGCAAGTGATTGCCACACTTTCTCAAATCCTGGCCTGGAAAAGTTTGAGGAATACGCTTTTGGTCATTCCTGACCTACTTATAAGAATTGTCACCGTCATGTGAATATGGGTATTAGCTTTACCTCCAAGTTCAGTGGAGGCAAATATATCTTCAAATGAACAAAACCATTGAATGTGGAGCACTGTAATGCCCTACCCTGTACAAACAAACACTGAAAGAAAAAAGGCTTTCCTTATTTTGTGTGCTGTTCAGCTGCCTACTGAAGTTTGGGGAAACTCAGGTTCTTTGTGTGAAGACTCCTGCATATATATTAGATATGAAGCCAAATTAACAGTAAATAAATACATAGTCTTCCATCTACCAGAAGGGTGGCATGTCATGTTGTAACAGTGTATACATATGAAATGCAGTACTTAATCTTTTAAATCTCAGAATAAGTTTTCCAAAGTACTTGTGTGAAAGGTGCTTATTGACAATAGTGCTAGTATTCAACTTTTTTCAGCCCAGACAGGTGTACAATTTTTATTTTTGTATTTTTTAATTTACCAGAATGGATAACAATCCAAGCCTAGGGGATGTTCTTTCAATAAGGGTAATTCTAATTCTGTTGGGAAAAACTAAGAAGCAATTTTAAAGCGTAGATCAATTTCTCATAAGTTTCCTTGTTTATAAAACATGCGCTGCATTGGCATCAGTAATTCCATTTCAAATTATTAATTTAAAAACTGTTAAAAATACATTCATTTTAAAGGTCAATGTTTGCCACAAAAACATAAAAAGTTAATGTTTGCCATTTAATCTAGACACAAATGAAATACGATTTTTAATTCACTGCTTTCTTAATTGCATCAATATAATAAGCTTAAATCTACTCCCATTTCTACAGCTAAGTATCAATAATGTTTGTGTAGCTGGAATATGTTTTGTGACTATGACAATCTGCTGTGTAAGCTGCTGATTCAGGAGAAGAAACTTACTGTTTAAGATCAATACTAGCTATTTACTATTATTTTTGGCATTTTTTAAAAAGTTGGGTTTCCATATAAAATTAATGTGGCATAAACTGGGTATCTCTGCTATAGTTGCTTCTTATAGTGAAATCACTGAATTTTTAGCAAAGAGGATCTGAAAAGAAGAATTCAAAATCCACCTCCAGACTTTCCCTTAAGTAAACGTGACTCCCTGAAAAAGCAAAATTTGTTTTTTGTTAATATCCTTCTGTCTTTACTCAATGTCTCAATTTCATTTTCCAAAGCTGAAAATCATCATAATAAAATTACTTATAAACTTATTGAGGGCTTATTTTGAATAGACCCACTTGAATTTTCATGTTTTATGAGCTGTAGAAGGATGCTTCTAAAGGGAAACAAATTTTCTGTTACTTTAGGTGAACAACTTTATTTTCTTACCTAATTTTTTGGTTATTGAACTAGGTGATAAAAACTGAATTGTCGATATGAGTATTTGTTACAGTAATATTTAACAGCACTTTTTACCAACACTTTTTTCTTAATTATGTGTGACTGCACTGACGTCAGCCTCTTAAGACTTTCCAGGTCTACAGCAACTCTCCTTGTTTCACTTGGGAGCCTGGGATGCCGCTTGGACACTATTTATAGAAACAGTTCTAACTCAACAAGTATGCAGTGAGTGAGGATGGCAGTTTTAAATCACAGGGTAAAACTGGGCTCACTTCCCAACAACACGCAGGCTGGGAACTAAGCAGGAAGGAAGGCCTGTTTATGAGCGTCTTATGCGCAACTATGTTTGAGTAGGCAGCCGAATAAAACAATGTTCTCTTGTGTAGAGTTATTCTCCTAGCAAAAGACTGACAATGTGAGGAAAAACTCCTTGGGTAAGTGAAGGAGAAAGTGTGATGGCAGAATAGCAATTTATGACTTTTTTTGCTGCGTCTGACTGCACGGATAGCAGTTGTTTTGGCTTTGTTTCTAGTGGTTTACAAGCTGTTGCCAAATATAGTTTTTGTTCCCTTAAGAAGTCTGTGGAATCTGCTTTGCTTTGCAGAAGTTAGTGTTTTAAAGAGATTGTTTTGTTTGCTTGTTTTAAATCATGCTGTCATCCCGGTAAATAAAGATTAAATGTCTCTCAAGTTGAAAAACAAACAAGATGAATAGGATGAGATATATATGTATTTTAAGTAATGAAACTGTTCTCTTTTGGAATGAAGTACTGGCCTTTTTCTAAAATGTTGTCTTTCTCTGTTCGTATGTTGTTTGAACTTTTTAAAGGCCTGAAGATCCTGTCAGTAAGAAAGACAGGAAAAATGTTACTTCTGAATTATTTTTTTCTTACCCATAGCCCTACCTCCTCCAAATGATTTTCTGCTTAAACCTGAAATACTGTTAAGACTGAATTCTGTAGTTTCTGCTACAGGTTACTCTTTTTTATATGCTAGTAAAAATGTGACATCATTACAGAAGTCTGCTTGAAGTCCTAAAATGCGTACTTTTTTTGGATCAGTTTGAAAAAAATAAAAGCCCACAGATGATACACTGTATCTATTACCAACACATACTAAATATTTTATTTACAAGGTCTTAGGAACAAATTTTATAATTTTTTTTTTTTTTAAACTTCTGCTCTCTGTAGAGGAATGTGAAAATATGAGCCGTTATGATAGACAAGACAGAAATGCTCGGCAACATCAGGAAGGGTTCTGGAAAAGAGCACCACAACAGCGATGGAATACACAGGATCACTATCATCTTGGCCATACCGATCACTATATCCATAGTAAAAATGATTTGAACAGGTAAAGGACTTGTCTCTTTTCTCCCAAACAGTTAAAATACTGTGATGAGAAATCTCTTTTGGCATTAAAGGGTCTCAAGTGATACTGAGTACAAGAAATTTTCAGAATAGTTGTATGTCTGTAAATAGCATGTCTAAGTGGGAGCATCTCTGAGATTTGTAACGATTTCTTTTCAAAACTTTTGTTTCTGTCATGGTTTTTAATCCAAAAATGTGTTACTTGTATTTATATGATACTATAAATGCTTGATTAAATTACCATATGTGTTCCATGGAAAAACATTGCACTCTCTTATTACTTGCATTTTCTAAGCTTGGACAGCTTTTTACTTATTTGTTTTTAAATTAAATGTAATCCTGTAGTTCTTATAGGCTAGCTTGAATGACAGTTTATAGAAATCTTGATGAGTAAACTGGTTTTAGGGTACTGTAGTTGTTAGTCTGCAAGAAATTTATGCCAGTGGGAAGGAAAGCCCAGCATTTAAGTGAAATAGGATTGACATTTTCTGCTTTATTTATTTTCTGCTGTATGCCACAGTATGTGAATATAGCCCACGTTGCATAACACTTTTTTACTAAATGCTCTCTAGGTCTAGGTTGTCATCACTGTGGGGTTTTTTATTTTTTTTAGGGGATCAAACTACCTAGAATCTCCTGTTGGTCACTTTGAAAGCTATGGAGCACCAAATTTTTACCAGGCTCCTAGACAGCTGGTGGGCTTACCGGAGAATACTGTGATGCTTGATGAAATGACACTTCGGCACATGGTCCAAGACTGCACAGCTGTAAAAACTCAGTTATTGAAACTGAAGAGATTACTGCACCAGGTGAGCTGTTTAAATGGAACAAAAGCAGTAAAGTATATTGGAGAGTGAGCCTAGATGGGCTAATGTTCTGTTTGGCCTTATTAGGCTATTGTCATTTCCTTTATACATTGACTTAGTGTTCAAGAAAGTGTGCACTTTTTATTGCTATTTAAAATATACTTTTTCTGCTTTTTCAGCGCTTTACTGACTGCAAAAAATATTTAATATTGTTATACTGCTTCTCTGAGGAAATAATGCTAAATTAAAAAAATATCAGTGGATGTGAAGACAAGCTTTTATTTAATAAGATCCTAAAAAGGTGGGAGTAAAAAAAAAAAAATTAAAAAATATGAAAATCGATCCCATTGATCAAACCTGCATTCAGCAAGTCAGTGGTAATAGCTTTTCCTTAAGGCTTTGTTTTCTTCATCTTTTCATCTTTTTTGTGTGTTTTGACAAGAAGCTTAGCAAATCCTACTGGGTCATCTCTATTGGAAGTGCTGAAATTCAACCTTTCTAGTGTATGAAATCACTGAATTGTCAGAAGCTTTTAGGAGCTTTTTCATTTCAGCTCAAAATTTTGCAAATTGTGAGAGCTGGTAAATTGCTGGATGACTCAGCAGAAGCATGGCATTTCGGCTACAAAAATTCTTTTGCTACCTTAAAAAAAGAAGAGTCCATGAGACCTTCTTTAGAGACATATACAGATTAGCATTGAAAAGTATCTGGATGATGTTCTCTTTAATAGTAGATTTACTGCTGTTCTTTTCTAAGAGGATAATGTAATGGAAATAAGTTTGTGCCCTAAAAGTAAGACACTAAAACAAAACACAGCAAAACAAAAAGCAAATCAACCTTGAGGCTAATTCAAGGGTGTGACTGTGCCTTTTAGAAATGTGACCATTTGCTTCCGATGGTGACCAAGAATACTGGAGATATTTTTCCACTGACAAAATCAGAAATACAATTGTAACAAAAATAATGTAGTGTCAGAGAGGGAAGATGTGTTCTTAGAGGCCTAATGTCTGAGCAGTGGGCTGCAGAAACTGTGCTTCCTAACAGCCTCAAGTATGCAATTAGTACATGAGATAGCAGGGAACTCTATCCAAAGCTTTTAATGCCTTTAACACAAGGACAATTAAACAACTAGACAGATGATCTGTGTATGTGTAGTTCATTGTGTAAAGGCGTGCATGTTATAGCCAAAGTTTGTGGCCCTGCAGAATATTGTATTTTAAATCTTGACCTAGTTTATAACAGCCATACTTTTCTGAAGGGTTACAGAACACAAACCTTGCCTCAAGAAGCTTGGATTAAGTTTTTAAAAAAACTTAAACTCTCAGAAGAAACAGTTACTCCTAATATGTACATTCATCAAAATTTGCTGCTTCTCTTGCCAAAAGCTTGATCTTCTCCCTCTCCCTCCCTGTAATAGCGAGTTTTGTAATAACAAGTATTATTCTTCTCTTCAAATTTTGTCAAGCCACCTTCTTTGTATTTTCCTGACCTAACCGCCCCATTTTAACTCACTGCTTCCAAACTCATCACTGGAGTTCTGAATGTTTATTCTATTCTCCTGTGTATTATCCAGCCTTTTAATCAAACAATATCAATAGCAAAGTAAATTAACCTGCTACAGAAGGGAAAACTTTAGGCCTGTACTACCTGTATTTACTAAACAATTAGAGTAAAACTTGTATGAAATATTTTTTCCTTATTTTTAAGTGTTAAACCTTTCCTGAAAATGCAGAGCTTTATACTAACAGAAATCAGTAAAAATATAGCAATTCTTTTTTTCCTTATTGTAAAGAACAGAAATATAATTTTGAAAACAATTACATGAACTTCAGCAGTCTGAACACTGAACTAGGACATGATCTCAGTCCGGGTCGTATGACAGGCCTCTTCTTACAAAATGTGAAAAAGCAAGATACAGTCAGCTTCTTTCAAACACTAGCTTTAGTAAAGAAAGCAGAAGGTCTTATCGTTACTTCACCTATATTACACATTTAAATGCATAAGTGTTACTTTTTTTCCAGTTATGACTTTTAGCAATATTATTTAATTTAGATAGGTAGAAATAGAGCTGTAGCCAGGTCTTAGGCATGAGGTCTCACAGGAACAGTTGTAGTAAGATAGTAAGATATAGTAATTAAATTCAATTTTATACAATTATCTAATCAACTGTAGTGTGACTTGCATCCCTTGCGTGCTATGCTCTACAGTATACCTAGCAGATTCCAAGGAAAACTTAATGTGTTCTACTGGATTCATTGCTGTGACTGTAGCTCACATAACTATATATAAATTATCTTGAATATTACTAGCAACATAGCTGCAACAGCATGGGTTTGGTGTTGTGTTCCCAGTTCTGCTTGGAAAAATAAGTAGTCACTTGAGTAGTCTAGCCTTTGCTGAACTCTGTGTGACCAGGTTAACAATGCCAGCAGTGCACGTGCTGTCTGCTTATTCTTCACATACTGCCATCTTTCTGTGTCTTCAAATGGTGAAATCAGGAATAGGAGTCTTGCCTCATGCAGATTTTTTGAAAATTTTCACTGTAGTAAGTATAACCTTCTCTGACTTTGCAGTAATGTTATACTTGCTTCTATGGAGTGAAAAACATAGATTGTTCTTGCAGTAAATGAAGTTGTAATTACTTACAGGGAAATACTGAACTACTGGTGAATGTTCTCACTTAATGCTTAACTGGAGCACTAACTTTGTATTGTAAGAAGAAAATGCTTTGGAAGTCTAACTCTAATAATAATTGACATTAAATGTTAATGTCTCAAACATTGACTAAGGTACTTCATTTGCATGCTTAATAGTAATGAAGTTTTCTTCTGATCTTAAAAATTTCTTCCTTCTTCCTCCTCCTCCTCAATTAATTTCTTAAACTTGCTACTCTAGGTTAAGGCTACGGAGCTAATGTGTTAGAACATCCTTATTTAAATAAGAATTATACTATTTCTGATTCCGTGGAGCCTTTGATCGAGGGAAGAATTGACCATCCTCTGTAGTAACTTCCTCTCAAGACTGGCAGCAATGATTCGCAACCACCCTGTCTTATCTCAGATAAGCACTTACTGATATTTTAAGGAGGACTGAAACATGAAGCAGTTCACAGAACTGAGATCTGTGAAGCCCTTTTTTCTGGGGGAGGCAAGTTTTATAAAAAATGTTTCTTTTCAACTTACCTTTCATGAATGGAAAAGAAATTCTTTTTTTCAAGCACAAATCTTCATTGTAACTTACCAGAAATGACTAGCCCATTTGTATGAAGAAAGGTATGAATGAAAAAATGAAGCCTGTAGTGCAGAATTGTTAAATGCCCCAATATATTTTTGCTGAGGCTTTAGATAAGTAAGTCACTTGGGTACCTTTGAAGTACATATTCATTGTGTTCTTTTTGCATCTGGTGAGATCTGTCAGACATATTTATCTTTGTTATAAGAAGCCTGAAGACAAGGAATAAACAGATTTAATTCATGAAATACAAAGGTTTCTTTGTGTCATGTATTGTTGTATAAATTGTATACAATATATTAGTTGTATAAATTGCACCTACAATTTTTACTTTTTTTTTCAGCCACAAAATAGTTCACCTCAGGGACTTAACTGTGCTTGAAACAGAACCAAAGAAATCAACAAAATAGCAAATAAAATTGGCAAATTTTAAGTTTAAACAGTTGGTTAGCTGTTGGACTGTCATTATAACAGTGTTTAACAGTGGGCAATGGAAACTGTATGACACTCATTTGTAGTGATATTTGAATGAAACTAAGCTCAAAATGCCAAGTAGTCAGCAGGTGAATAGCACCCTCTGCTTGAGGGACACTTAATGAATTTTCTGTTTGCATCTTTATAAAAATGCTGCTAGCAAAGGAGACTACTCAAATGAGTAATTTGTACGGAAGAAAACTTTGAATTGGGAATCAAAGGCTAGACCTTGATAAAACTTTAATAAACTTTGATAAACTTTAGAAATGTTTGTTTAGCATTTTTCAACTTCTTAATGAACTGTAGATGTTAGAATCTTGAAAGAATTCTCAAAATGAAATTGTTAGTATACTATTAGCAGTATATATTCTTTTAAAACCATGTGTGTTAAAAGGCAGCTTATGCTGTTAGGGAACCACAAGATAATTGCTGAAAATGCGTTTGCTTCTAATGGCTTGATTTTTTTGTATTAGAAAAATTTAAAATACATTAGTATAATGAAAACAGCTATTGTCTCTAAGCTTTGATCTTTGTATCTTCCTCTGAGGCAATATGGGAGATTTCTTCTGAGAGAGAATACCCTTTATCTTGTCTCTTCTTCTAGAATTTCGGCAGTTTTTCTTTATTTTACATGTACTTTTAACTAAAGCCTGCAAGTAATATCACCCAAAGAAAGCAAGGGGAAAAGAGAAGATGGAAAGAATAGACAGTGAGAACAGCTGCACCGTCTGTATGCTGTATAGAAGGTGTATGTTTATAATATTGAAATATGTTCTGGGGACTATTATGGTGTATTTAGTCATGGAGCTTGACTTTTCTTTTGGTTGCATTTTTTTCTTTTTAAAATAGATGCACTGCTGAGAGGATAGGAGACAATATAAGCAAATGTGGTAGTTTTGAGCTGCTGAACTGTTTATCAGCAGAAATACTGTGGTGCTCAAAGCCCAACAATCTGTAGTAGGTAAACTGCTGCTGTGTATAATCAACACAGTAGGTTAGAAAGGTAGTGAGGCCCTTTATTAGGCCATTCTTGACTAAATACTTGTATCTGATATACTTCTTCATAAATAATTGGTCACTAAATAAAAATTAATGTTTAGTATTCTGTTTACCAAAAGCAATAAGTCAGCTTTTTGGGAATTTGTAACGTGAAGCAAACACAGGGATTTGTGTCATTCGTACTAAAAATTTCACACTTTTATAAAATATTGGCATGAGAGCATGTTAGGTACAGCCACTCAAAAATACAGGTTTCAATTTGTGGCTCTTTGGGTGAATTGTGGTTTACCTGTGACAGCCATGATGGAGGGTTATTCCCAGAACCTTTAGCTCCTGTTCTTCGGATGGATTAAAAATTACAGATGCAGACTTGAGAATATAATGAAGTGCTTCAGTTAGACTGTAACATGTCGTAGTGGGTATGTAAAAATGTTCGACGTGTAGAAAATTAATTATCCAGAGAAATAAGGTGCATGATGGCGTTAACATTCAGGGAAGAAAGGTTTGTTACATATTTTACCTCCATGTACACGTAAAATCGTATCTAACTCTCACTGAGCTTGTCCTAAAACAATAAAATCAACTGGTTTGTAGAAAACTAAGATGGTATTAATTTTCTCAGCAGATAGCCTTTGCAAAGGAATATGAAGCAGAAATAATATTCAGCATGAAATCAGGCTACTTTGATAGTCATGATTGTAAAGCTTTAGACATTCATCTGGATTTGTTGTATAGGCACTATGCTGATAAATGCTAAAATGTTGTTAGAGAGGTGGTGAATTACATCTCTTCACACTTGTCTTCAAAAAGTTAGCGTAAAGTTTTTTTTTTCAGAGCAACCTTTTAGTCTTTGAGCAGTCTAAAAGTGTTCGAAGCGAATTTGTGTGTGGATTCTTTTTTCCACCACAGCCACCTGTTCCCTTTATGTAGCTATTAGTAAATTTAGCATGATTTTCTAAGTCTTGCTGGGGTATTTTGTAATGGTTTCTGACTCCAGGTTTGCTGTAATTTTATAAGCCAGTTTAAAATGTATATTGAGGCATGTGATTACCTCAGTTTATTACATAAGGACCACCCAAAACTGGCCAAAAGCTGAATTGTATGCTGTTGACTTTAAGTCCAGCAAAAAGTTTCCAGTAAATGTGGTTGAGTTGAAAATCAGTGTAGACAGGTAGTGATTCAAATGGGTTGCTGATACTCATAGTAACAAGAAACGGACTGCGAAATGATCAGTCACTGTCGTATTACTTCATTGTTTCTTACATGAGCATATTCTTGATTAAACATTGCATGCAAATATATATGTATGAATTTATATTGAGTTAAAATAATCAATCTATAATTGAAGATTATCCCTACATAACTAATCAAATGAGAATGTCTGCAGCATTAGTCCTCTGTCAGTTTACATACTGCAGGTTATTTTCATGCCTAAACTGCCAGTAATGTTTAAAAATAACCGTACCAGGATTGCCAAAATGTGTGAGGTTTGAGTTGGTTGTTGCAACGGTTTAAACTTAGGAAATAGTTGCAAATATTAACAACTGTTTTTCCTTCTAATGCTGCTGTTTTTCAAAAGCAATCTTCTGCTAAGGAAATGAGATTAAAATGTTTTGTTGCTGCTTATGTTTATAAGTAGTACTTATTTTTAAGTGCATTTGATAAGTATTTGTTTTTGATATGGCTAACAAACTATCCCGAGTTCTTGTTTTTGCAAGCATCTTTTACATTTGTCAAAAACGAGGCTAGTGCAACTGTTCAGAAGATGTGATTATACTATAATAAATAATGTATTCTGCTATTGTAAAAATGTTAGTCAGGTAAAAACCAAGAGGTAGCAGTTTTTTGTATTGCCTATTGCAATGTGATGATACCTTTATAAAGTTTATTGTAATTTTAACTAAAGGTAAAAAGTATACGTTCTCTCCAAATTTCTGAAATTTGATGATATCTTAGCATATAATTTCTAGGCTACCAAAAATAACGTGCATATACCAATTTGCATTTGTTTTGCTAATTCTATTGTCTTTTGGCTAGTTCTGATCTCTTTTTTGTACATGGATAGCCTTATTCCACTGATTCCCTCTTCCCCAATTTTATTTTAGCAATATGATGAGCAAGAAAGAAAAAGCAAAACAAGAAAAGTTTCATAGATTAATCCTAGCGTATGTTCACAATGGGATGCTTAAGTTCCTGCTAATGGTGTTAGAACTGAATTTTTTTTTCAGTTGCCCTGTGTTCATTATATGTATTAAGATAATTAAGACAGTGGTAAGGGAATTGATGCAAATGAACTTAGTTCTTGCTTTGCTAGTGAATATTAGTCAGGTAAAGCATAGGGCTGGAGTACTTGATTTCAATCACCAGAGAATATGTGACATACTAACTTTCTTTGCAATTAGGTCTTAATCTGCTCTTGTAGAATGTTTTGTTGCTCTACTTGTATGCATTTTAATGGGAATAAAAGATATACCAGAGGTATCACTGATAGAGCTTTTAAAAGCCATGCAGGATACTTTTGCTTGAAATAATTTGTCTTGGTTTGTGTGTTTTCCATTCCCATGATTACTCCTTCACAATTACAACTGTGACCATCTGATGCAGCTTTTCTTCTCAGTTTGTGTATTTGCTTGAATAGTTGTTTAAAGTAACAAATATTGATGAAATCTGTTAGTTGTAGAATATAAGATAAATATAAAATAGAATATAAAATGTAATCTGTTAATCTGTAAATGATTCTATGATTCTAATTGCTGCTCAAGTTCACAAGGGAGTTGTTTCAGCAAGTAGTTTGAGTTCTTGTTTTTGTTCTCTGATAGAACGATGAAAACGTGTCACTCCAGGACATCCCACTCTCAGTTCCATCAAGTCCAGAACCACAAGAACCTGTGTCAACTTTTAAGGTAAATGACACTGATTTACTCTAAAGAATAAGAGATACAAGCCTGTTTGTTTTTAAAAAACTCAGACTGCTGTATCACTGTGAAGTAGTGCTTCTTGCTTCTTTCATCTATTTAAATGCAAACCTGGCAAATGTTTATATACTTCGTCTTTTCAGCTTTGTTAAAATGGAAGGGTTTATTTGACCTTTTAAAATACATACTTACAAATGCTAGCACAGTTTAAATAATTGAAATAACTTTGCCTTTTGGTATTTGTAGCAGGCATGTGGGAAGTAACAGCTGTAGAGTAACTTCTTTCAAAATTTTGCTGCCTGCTTGATAAGTGTTAGAATTTGAAAAGACAATTTTCGCTTCAAAGTGTAATCCTACCATACTTATTCAGATACTTCCTCTTTCATTACATTTATTGTTGACTTCAGTTTAAAATTCTTTCATCTAAAGTAAGTTTTCCCTGAGATAATGCAGGTATTGCAGACGTAACTTAAAAACAATGTGAACCCCACAAAGTCAAAGATGTGTTTATTGTTTTAGAATGGATATTAAAGGAAGAAGCAATCACAATGGATATTCCAAAAAGGATCATCTTTTATGGTCACAGATTTGTAATGTTGTGCTTTCTACAATGCTAAGGTTTTATAGCATTGCTTGAGGCTCTTATTGTAAAATCAATACTGAAAGATCACTAATCCTGCACTTTGGGTAGGGGAACAATACTTGCTGAAGATATAATGAAATTAGAAATACTTCTTGAAAGGGAAGAACACTTGCAATCTTATTCCTGTTTGAAGGTCATCTGTCCAAATCCTGGTTTCAGGGTTTAAGAGGTTTGGCAAAGCTGTAGATCCATATGCATCATTCTTTAGCAACCCTGGTTTCTATGTTGTTAACATTTAGGCCTTCTTTTTTCTTTAATTGCTGTCTGATGTATTTGTTGTGCTTGTCCTTCTACAATCATCTCCCTCAAAATCTTAGTCTTAATTCCTAGAGAAAAAAGTCTTGCTTTTTAACTTCATAATAAAAAAAAAGTGGTAATGTTGAATTGCCACTTCTTTACCTGATACCGTCATGTGGTTTGAAAAATTGCACAACAAATCAGTCTGGGTGTTGTCCTAAAGCAGTAACTAATAACATCTTCAGTGAAACTCAAATAGTGGATGTATGCTACTAACTGGAAGTATGCTCCTTAATTTATGGCCTAGCTATAATGGTACAGTTATAAAATATATTAAAATTACCTTGTGATGAAAAATTATTTAAAAAAAAAATCATTCTTGCATATTTACCAATTTTTTTAGTCTCTGAACTTTGCATAATTAAGTCTTCAGGTTTTAGTATGATGTATTTAAATCGGTTGTGCTCTTTGCATTCACTAAACGTAGTTATGCTTATGTTTCTAAATGATTTTTTCTTGTTTCCATCATTTTATTTTAATAAGTTCACTTAACCTTTAAGCTTCAGTATTTTTTGCTGTTGTATAAGGAGGAGTATAGGTAGTATTTGATGTCTGGGGATGCTCATCTCCATGATGTCAGTCGCTTGTACAACAGGTGAATTACTGCATAAAAGATGCAGCTGGTTTCCTTACATAGCCTGAAACCTTAGTGTCAGCTCAACTTTGTCTTTTAAAGAAACTTCTAGTCAAGTTTCTTCACTCTCTAGGTTCTATGCCTACAGCCCATCTCACCATGCGAATAAGAGGAGGAAAGTGTGTGCTAATGTTACTGCCAGTCGTCCATGAACATCTGATATAATATGTCCTGTAGAGGTGTTCATGTAGATTGTGTAGCCCTTATAGAAAACCTCGTATTGCCCACTGTTCTATTGCAGATGGACGATCTGCTGAATGAGATCAGGCAGCTTAAAGATGAACTGAAGAAAAAGGATGAAACAATCAACCAATTAGAGCATCAACTTGTAAGTATAATGCTAAATGTTTAGCAATATCTGAAGTATGCACTACAGAGTGTAACTTCAATAGGTATATTCTTATGAAGGCTTTAAGAGGGCTAGACATCTAATTTTTTTCCTACGCTTTCATTATAACAAAGGTAGATTTGGGTTCTGTTTAGACCCACCTGACTCATGAGTCTGTAACGGTTCAGGTAGCAGACTGATTCTACGTGTTCTAGTGTGTTTGCAACTGTACACCTGGGCTCTTTAGTTCTGCAGGCCAGTCATGATTTGTATGTGTGGCACTAAGCAAGGATGTTTATATGACTGTTAAATATATTTCATTTCCAAAACAAACACTTTGAACATAAAATTCTAGAAGCTGTTCAGAAATAACAATGAGCAAAGATAAGGCACTTTATGCTTAAAGTATTTTAAAAATTAAAAAGTATCAGGCCGATCATTCTGCTTGAAGTTTTGTTGTTGTTGTTTTTTTCTCCATCTCCTTTTCCCTACTGTCCATTAGTTTAATAAAGAATTCCACCATAGAATTTAAAGCTGAGCAAGGTAGTATTCAAAGTTGATTCTTTTTTTTAAAACAAAACAAAACAAAGCATGTTGAATAGTAAGATTAAATTGGCCAAATAAATAAAAGTTATGGGGGCACTTTTGTCATAAATCAGATTCAGGCAGACACATAAGTCCTCAAGCAGAAGTAACATATGCCTTTTTGCTCTTGTTCTAAGTTAACTTTGGATTTTGTTACGTGTATCTCTGCATTTGGTTCTGGTAAACTTGCCTGCTGTGACAATTCTTGTAAAATAACCCTATGGTTTCAAGCCATTTCAAGCCACAGCAAGATCTTAAAAGTAGGGTAGATGAGATGCCAAGAGGTGCATGCCATATTTATTTATCATGGCTGGAGACAGTCTTGTGTGACTATACTCTCTAATGAAATGTTTAGCATGTGCTTTTATGCATATGTGCACTGAAACTGACCTGTGGTCTTCATCTTCTCCGTGTCTAGCATGTGATCATTCCTTTTAAAACAAAAAGGAAAGGTTAAGATGTGGCTTTCTGCTTTGCTTAAACAACAGAATTTCAGATCACAGGGTACTAAAACAAATTGTCTTGTCTGTTAGTATTTTGCATTGTGTTGATTTTTCAGTATGCTTAGTCTCACTCTTACCATCAGCCTTCAAAGATTTTTTTCAAGGAAATCTCTCTTTCTTGGTAGACCGTATACCTAATTACTGTAGTAACTGAAAACTTTGTTGCAGCTAAGGAACTGTACTGTAAAGAGGGGTAAAACTTATATTTGTAATTGTTGAAAGGTGACTTAAAGAATGTGGTGCGTCAGAAATTTCAGTGAATCAAACACCCTTTCCAAAAGTCAACATTTATTCTGAATTATTTCTAAATACACTTTGGGAAAAGAAGCAGTTGTGCAGCACTGTAAATACTAGTTTCTACATTTTAATCATGTTGTGCTATACTGCTAAGTAATGCATGATGTTTGAACACTGGGCCTTGACTGTGCTTTTCAAGTGTCTTAGTTATTTTCTAACAAATTTTCCTTTCTCTTTCTCTTTTTGGGGGTGATTAAGGCCACTAGATGTAACTGCCAGAAAGACAGTCAAAAACCTACAGGAGCAAAGTGCGTGTATGCTGATAAATTTACACAAACCTCCTGGAGGAGGAGTTCTGTGAGTAAAACGTGCCTTTCCTTCTTGGGTATGACTTTCTGCATTTCATTCCCCAATTCTATGACATTTGCCGTCATATAAGTTGGCATTGTTTAAGAGATTCTGTGCTGTATGTGAAAGTGGTATCCTTCCTGCTGTGCATCCCTTGTGTTCTTTTGCAACTTTCTTATTTAAATATTTGTTACAAACATTTCTTTTAAAATAAGTAATTAAACTTTAGAAGTCTTTTCTTAAAATAGTCGCCTTCTGCACTATTTAAGTTACAGTCAGCCCAAGCTGTATATCTAATCATATGTAAGATATTTTCCTATATCCTGACTTTAAAGTCATAGGTATCTGTATTTGGTTTGTTTTTTTTTTTTTTTCCCCCCTGGTTAAAGTTTCGTTGTTGCTATGCTGACATTTGTTGAGGAAAAAGAACAGTGCATTCTAAGTTTCAGTCCATAAGTGTAACAACAAAAGTTTGGTTGTTTTTTTTTTTTTTTTTATTAATCATTTATTTGAAGAACTTAGCTCATTCAGAAAATGATTGGGTGAAAATCACTTTGACAAAGGGCATCTTCATTCCCATATGTTGTTGCATGGATCACATTTGCTTCCATTATATAAAACTTACATTCTTCATGGAACACTAATAGAATACTTCAGATGGTGGAGAGACAACACATTTGATATTATATAATAATAATAAGGAATTATCTTTGAATGATGAACAGGGCTGTTGTCAGTCATCAGCAAATAATCTTCGGATCTTGAAGCTACTGCTCTAGCTAGAGAATCCTAAGAGATTTCTTTAAAAGATTAAAAATGGTTAGATTTTTGGTTTCTTTGTTTTTACCCTGCCTTGAGTTACTTGATGTAAGATTGTAGTAAAGACAAATCACCCTTGCTATCCTTCTAAAATTACTCTTTAAAATATATAGTGCTACGATAGAAATACCACCACACTGTGTGTTCATCAGTTGCTAGCAAACAGCTTTATCCTGTTGAGACCATGCTTTCCAACTGTCTTCTGTCTGATAAGAACCCAGTATAAAGAGATCATAACCTTATGCAGCTTTTAGTTTGCTCTGACACCTCTGTTCCAGAAAGTATGTGTAATGTCTTTTATGTTTATCCCATTTGTTTCACTTTTCCTGTTACTTTGTAGCTTTTGAGCTCTTATATTGTCTCAGTTTTCCCAAATTTTAATTTCCTATGTTCATTTGATGTTTTTCTTCATTGGTACAATTATTAGGTTAGTGGCTATTGTTTCCATGTTCCTTTTTTCTCCCTATCATTTTCCACATAAATTCAGAAACAGATTAATAACTATTCAAAGTTAGTTGCTAACTACAGAAGCTTTAGTTTGAGCAACCTGTGGTATTAATTGATAAGACAAAGATATTGGAGAAGATGGGTAATCTAAGTTGATATCATAGAATCGTTTAAGTTGGAAAAGGCCTTCAAGATCACCAAGTCCAACTGTTAACCTAGTGCTGCCAAGTCCACCACTAAACCATGTCCCTAAGCGCCACATCTGCACGTCTTCTAAATGCCTCCAGGGACGGGGACTCAGCCACTTCCCTGGGCAGCCTGTTCGAGTGCCTGATAACCCTTTCGGTGAAGAAATTTTTCCTAATGTCTAATCTAAACCTCCCCTGGCGCAACTTGAGGCCATTTCCTCTTGTCCTATTGCTTGTTACGCAGCAGAAGAGACCGACCCCCACCTCACTACAGTCTCCTTTCAGGTAGTTGTAGAGAGCGATAATCTGGGAGTAGATAGGTAAAAGTAGTCATTTAGCCCAATTGTCTGTTTTGCTCAGGTAGAAGTATATTTCTTCTAAGTTATTGAGTAGTTTTGTTCAAAAAGACATATTTTTTTTTTTGTCATGAGGAAATTTGAGTTAAGGGAGAATATAATTTAAAAAATAAAAAAGGACCTCTGCTGTATTCATGGTTGGGTGTGTGTATGTGTGTGGGTATATGTATACATATATATATGATACACATACATATGTGTGTAGGCATATGCTCATTAGATGCGCATTATAAACATCTTCGATATTTTTGTCTTTACATGTAAAGTTTTCTCATGAAAATTGATAAACGAATTAGGAAAATTCATGAAGTATTGACAGATCTTCAAAATACACTGCTTTTCAGGAACTTTTATTTGTAAATGATAGCTGAAAAGTTTTGTGCAGAATGATTTTTTTTTTTTTTTGTTTAAATATCTTTGTGTATTTCTAAGTTATATGGAGGCTTTCTGTAAGAAAACAGAAATTGATATGAGCTCCTTAATGTGGGATTTCTTAAAGGGGGATGATAGTCTTGCTTTTGTAGCCGAGTTCCAGTTCTAATGATCAGATCTCAACTTTCTGGTTTAATAGTTCCTCTGCTAACATGCATTTGTATGCTTCCTTGCATGGCTTAATAGAAGTATAAACGTAGAAAAAGCCTTGGCATGAATCCTTGTTGATCTGGAACCCAATGACATAAAATGTCACTTGCAATAGAAAGGGGAGACAATTGGCTCTATTTCTTGAGGCAGGAGTACGATAAATGGAAATAGCTGGAAACACCCGAGTAAAATGTATTCTCGCTAAAAAAAAGTCTTAAAGAAAATAATTGTTTTGCTTTATTAACATTCCTGTTCAGTTTAATGTAGTGGTCTTGAACTGAGAGCGCAGGCTGTGAGAAATCAGATTTATTGGTCCTAAACATGGTATGAATCATGAAATGTAGTTAATGTTTATGAAATTATGAAGTTTTTGTATAAACTACTTTTTTTTTTTTAAAAAACAAATTATAATTGAAATCTTGGCAATAAGAGTACAACTCCTTTGAGGCATATAAGTTTATGCGTCTTTAAGCTTGTTAATAGTTATCAAAGTTGATGAATATTTAACTATTTCATTTTTTCCTGTAATTGTTGACCTGTCAGTCACTTTAAATGATGGTGAATATCAGGAAGTTACTTTAGTTAGATTATCATAACTTTCAAGATTATTCTGGCAGTTTACAAATTCTAGCAGAAATGATACTATGTGCCGATTCCTGAAGCATAAATAACAGTCTAGGAACACACTGTAATTTACTGTTTCAAGAAATACTTTAAATGCTTCTAGAAACGTGTTTAACAAACATTGTTAATGTAGTGTTTCATAAAGAATAGATGCTAGAATAAACGAGGAAATAGTGAATGGAAATTGGCTATTAAAACATTTCAGTTGGGAATTTAAGACAATATGAATTACAGTAATTTATTGCAGTTCTGCTGTCCATTTGAAATAGCTAGTATTTCTGATCACTTCATTGTTCTCCCAGTAAATAGGCAAGTGAATATCATTAGACATATTTTTAGGAAGTCATGTTCTTATCTGTTCTTTCTTTATTACCAGATATTTCTAGAAAATGGCCCATCCTGATGTGATTATAAACTTGTCTGGGGTTATTCTCTTTAGAGACCACATAGTTTTTGAAAGTACTTTTAGGATTTTTTGCTATTTAAAGGTAAATATGTAGAGAAATGGAAGCTATGTAACTTTCGGTTAATCCTGGGAACTTAGTACTCCATGTAGTAAAATCTAGTGGCTGAAAATAAATGTTTTGAAAATTGGGCATATTAAGAATTAACCTATTGCCTATCCTCTGTGTCGACTACATGGTGTTTCTTGTAAGCAGTGTCCTGAGAATATGCTCAGAAATACATTATGTAATTTCTGACTGTTTGTATAGACAATGATAACTTGGAGGGAAACATTATTTTGGGTTAGCCATCCTCAGGATAAAGGCTTGTACAAGTATTCACTGACAGGGTGGACCATGCAGTTTCTGAAGGATTTCTCATAGATCTCTTCTACTGAATTCACTTCCAGTTAATTTATGCCTATCATTTAATTATCATGGGGGAAAAAAAAAATCAAACGCAAAACCTGGAAGAAGGTATTGAACATAAAATTACCCGAAGCAATTAACATTGATGGACAGAGCTTACAAAGAAGAAAAATGCGAGTATCCATTGCCACAATTGTCTTGCAGGCTTTTCAGCATTGCTTCTGTAATACTAAATACTGACATTTTTTTTTAAGATTTTGAGGGTAAAGGGGTTAGATGTCAAGTTTATGTTGACAAATTATTTGGCTTCTTGAACTGGAAAGGTTGTTTGCAGATGCTGAGTGGTAAAAGACAAGCAAGCAAACTGCAAAGCCTGAATATGGATGAAGATGTCTGTAAAGGGTTCTGGCCACTGAGGTCCAGTTCCTTAGCATAATGCAACTCCTCCTAGTGCTCTTCCATGCCCTGCAACAGTTGATAGTGTACAAGAAAAGCTGATTTTTCTCCTTGGTCTTGGAATAGTACACAGTGACGAGAATAAGTTTTGCTTCTTAAATGTGTGTACAAATTCATTCTTGTCTCTGGTAAAATGACAGCAAAAATTTCAGTTTGCCTGGGAGCATACATATCCTTGTTCTCTGCTACATCTCTTCTCTTCCTCTGTGCTGAGATATATTCTTTGCCTTCCGTTTGAGTATTGTTCCTGTTTGTCATTCCAAAGCCTTTCACGTCAATTGTTTTGATGAACCTTCATAGTACTTGGGCTGTCTGTGTACTGTTGTCTTTGAGTATCTCCTTCCACCTTAGCCTTAAAATCTCTCTATGCTTTGACTCTGCAACTATGAATTTACACTTACAGGTTTCGAAGCCTAGTCACTATACTAGTGTTTATCCTCACATTTGGCCCAGGTTTCTCTTGTTGTCCAGTACTCTGCTGTTCACTTGCTGATCCATTATAATGTACATTCTTGGTGAGAAAGGACCATGGCTGGACTATATAGTTGTTTTGCATGTTTCTTGCTCTGTTACAGTAGCAGTGCATAACATGTAGGTGCATGCACAGAAGAGAGGTCCTTTAAACCTTTCACAGGCAATTCTTCTTGGTTTAGTGTAAACCAGTGCATAAGACTGTTTTTGGTTTTGGTTTTGGGTTTTTTTTCTTTTCCTGACCTGAATACTTTCAGAAAGACTATTGCATGTCAGAACTGCTCATTCATAATCTCTTTCTGGGTGCTAGGCTAGCAAGAGGAGACTGCTGCAAAGACATTTTGTTTGGGTTGATACTTGAAGTATGTCATTCTAGGTTTGTTCATGATGTGGAGCTCTGAGTTTGTATGAGACAACTGGCAATGCTAGGTGAGACGCAGCAAAAACCATCTAGGAAGTACTCAAAGGCTCCAGGTCTATGAATAAAAATGGATCTTTCCTGTATTTGTGTTTCTGCAGAAAAGACTTTTAAAAGTAGTAGCAGTTTTGCATGTTGGTGTATCCTTGGGAAAAGAGCTGGAATATTTGGCTGTTGGCCTAAAATTACTATGCAGCAATAGGTTAGAAATACTTCTCTTGTCCTTTTCTGGCAGAAGCAATTGCTTTTGTTCATGTGATTGCTTATTCTAAGGTTGAGGTTTCTTCATAACAATGGAAAACTCTGGCCTTAATATCCTCATAGTAGCCTTTTTTAAAAACAAACAAACAAAACCCACAGGTTTTCCAGTGTAGTTAGGGTCAGAACTTCATAAAGCGTTTAGCAGCAATTGTACGATTCATCAGGATGTCTGAAGAACATTTATTATTTTGTTCTGGTTTGTAGGCTGCTTTATTTCAGCTGCTCCTATTCTTCCACTCCTGAGTCTTCTGGTTTGCCCGGTGTTTAAAATTCTGAATCACTTCTCTTTTGGCATGCTTTTACTATTTCACAATTCCAGTGTCTGGGAAATGAGAGGAATGGGACTTAAGTTTAGTGGCTGGATGCACATAACAGCTCGGGGGAGGAACTGTTCTGACTGTTGTCTAACATTAAAGTACAAGTGGAAAGACTTGCATCAGACTAGGCTTCAGAACCCAGAAGAATCCCATCAAATGTTCTGTGTTTTGTTTTGGTTGTTTTTTTTTTTTTTTTTTTAAATAAAATTTGAGGATGGCCAAGTTCTCATCTTTAAATTCTAGCATTGCTTGCTTATGAATTTTATAGGCTTTTTAATAATCAAGCATAAAATAAGCTGTGATTCAGGTTTTTCTTCTTCCCTGTGTTTTTTTTTGTTTTTTTTTTTTTTTTTTTTTTAAATAGAAGCTGAGGTAAGTCATGTTCTCATCTTTAAATTCTAGCATTGCTTGCTTATGAATTTTATAGGCTTTTTAATAATCAAGCATAAAATAAGCTGTGATTCAGGTTTTTCTTCTTCCCTGTGTTTAGTGGGAAACTGTCACGTTTTCTGTGTATTTTGAATATGTAGCATAATCTGAGGAGACATGCTTATTAGTGTGTGTTTCCTTGTTCCTGTTCTTTGGATTTCTTGGGAACATCAGCGCACGTTTGACTAATAGAAGGGGATGGATGTGCATTGTTGTTTAAAGGAGAAAGCTTTGTAAATCTGCTGGAGTTTTGTAAAATACTACTAAAAGAAAAGTCATCTTTTCACAAGCCAGGCTTATTTGCAGATAATTATCTCTTAATATGCTATATCTATGGGATCGGTACAGCCTTTATTATTTGTAAAATCAGTGTAATTCATAATATACTTCTTAATAAATTCCCAGTGCTCTATTTCCTGGTCCTTACTTGGTTCATTTGATGTTAATTTTAATTACCTTATTTGATGTACAATTAAGAAATGCTTGTTTTATAAATAAGAAATCCAACACTTATTTGACATTTGCCTGTGTGGAGCGGTGTAAACTCTCAAGACTGCTGCCAGAGGAAGAGCTAGGTCTTTTGCTTCTCAGATTATAGAATGTTCTCTAGCATTTGGGAAAAGAGGGCTGAACCATGCCTGGAGACCTGTTCGGTTTAGCAGGCAAAACACTGAAGGAAGTTACTTGCACTTTTTTCGTTTACTTCTCCAGTCAGAGTAATGATTAAATACCATGAAGAGCTATTGAGAAGACTGCACTTTGTGCTTTGAAGTGCTAATATGGGTGCTTAAAAATTACTGGAATGTATCAAGACATCTAAATATTTCTTTGCTTTTACAATAGTATCATAACTGTTAGGTAGCTCAGCTGGCTTGTACTTGTCTTAATCTCTCTTTTTAGAGAGAGGAAGGGAGAGGATATAAAATTTTTGCCTCTCTTCTTAATTTAATGCATTAAAAATTTCAAAGCAGTCTGGAAAAAGCCCATTGCCAACTCAAACCTCTACAAGATGAGACCTATGCCTGATGATACTATGCTTTTTACTATCAGTTATGTTTAGAAAATGGAAAGAATTTGTTGTTGCCGTTGTTGTTGTTCCACTACCCTGACACAATTTAGGATTAAATGTGAACAAGCCTGAAAAATTAAGTATTCTTTTGTACAGTGTTGTGAAAATCCAGAGTTTTTGTTAATGTCTCATCAATCACTGATTGATTAATCTTGTTCCCGGGAATATTTCTGTATTTAATACCTATTCAGCTGATGCAACATACTATATTATTTTGTCATGTTGCTTGACTGAAGCTAGTACTCTTGTTCTTTCATGCAGCAGTGTTGACGTTAATGGTTACGGATGGAGGACTGTAAGAACATGTTAAGTAGTCAATATCTCTATCTAGAGATAATCAGATTAAAGAACTTCTTCCATTTTTTCCTTGGATTTTGCTCCAATAAGTGTTTTATCTCAGCTTCTGAAGAAGAAGAAAGAAGTCTTGTCAGATTTTTTTTCTTTATTTCTTGTTCTAGGTTAAAAATCTTCTGGCTAGCGAATTCTAAGACTTGACTAAATGCATGCGTTAAGTTACATCTTAGCAGTACTGAAACTTGGAATAGTGGTGGATAAAATCTAACTAGATCAGGATAACTGGAAGGTCAGAGAAAGGTTTAAAATTCTGCTAGGATAAATAAAAGCAGAATATTTCTTTATAGAAATAATGTGATGCTTAACATTCTTTTAAAAGAAGCATGGAAATAAAATACTACTTTGTTTGTCCAGCCCTGGCAGTATGATCTGCAGCAGATATGCCAGCAGAGAAACTAGAGAGGAGGGGCAAACTGTGTTCCTGTTTTCTTTGATATAGATGTTTGTTCAGGTATCTTACGTCTGCTGTCTGAAAGAGTACCTACAACTGGTTGCTGTTGATATCTGCTGGTTACTGGTAGCCAGGAGGCAATGGCAATCGTTACTGTGAGCTCTAACATCCCAGAACTCATAAAAGTAGAAGTTTTCAGCTGCTGAATGGTGAAGGGGTTGTAAAGAATTAAACTTGTCTTGCTGAAATAGAAAATCGAGATTTAAGATGGCAGTTCCAGCTTGGATAGATTTCTTTTAAAGGTAAGGGTATAGAGAAAAAGATAGACTGCATAAAATTACTTTCTTGTTTTGAGAATGCAGCAACCACAATGCGTCACTTCTGTGGTGATCTGAACCATCTGACAGGCAAACCCTGCATGGCATTGACATGTGCAATTTTCTGATCCTGAAATGGAAGGCTCAAGCTCCAAGAGCAGAGTGCAAGGAAAACAGTTATATGTCACCTCTCCTCTTTCACATTTAATAATACCATCAAAATATGAGCGAAGTGGACTCTACAGCACCAGGAATTGCTAGAAGATGTGTTTCTATGCGTTAGAAATTTTTTGTTGTAAACTAAAGCTGACTGGTTTTCCTGTAGATTAGTATTAAGCAACTTACTGCTTGGTGAGGCATTTTTAAAACATTTTTGAAAGCTGTAAAAATACAATTTTTAGCATGTATTTTTAACACAAAAAGCTCAGTTCCTACACTTTTCCCTTAAAAACACCTGTAACAGAAATGTGTGCGTATATATTGAATAAAAATGGAGGTATTTTGTAAGATTTCTGACTAGTTTAGGGCATCATAATGTCATTTTTCCTCTGGGCTTTAGTAGCATGTAGCGTTTGCTTTTACAAAGTAGAACAACTGGGAAATATAATGATACCTGTCTGGGGGAAAAAGAAAAAGAATGGTGTGGCTTTTTGGTGTCTTGTTTTTCCCTGTTCTCTTTTTTTATTATACTTCTCCCCCTCTCTCTTTCTGCACAGGGTGGGTATTCTGCTCCCTCCTTCTCTCCCTGGCAGGGCTCATTCCAGGGCATCCCTCGGACTGTTCCACCGCACCGCAGACAGAGTGAGTCTGTACCTCTCACTCATCTCCCTCACCGTGTTCCAGTAGAAGCTTCCCTTTGCACGCACTGTTCATCTCGTAGTATCCTCCTTTCTCAGGCAGATTTACAGGCATACACAATAGTCTGTGGCTAACCAAAATGCTTCCTTCAGCCAGTGTATAAGCAGCTACAACTTATAGCTTTATAACAGTTATTAAATGCTGATTTACTTCAGCGGTTCTTCAGGCAAACTTGAGTAGGCCCTTGTTTCCAGTCTTGTCTTAACATAAATCTTGCTTGCTGCATTTTCCCTTTCTTTTTCATGGCTGTGATATACTATCCTGTTTGTGTATGTGTTCTGTTTGCTCATAAGTCTGCACGTGTGCATATGTGGATGTATTTACATAAATACATTGTGGATGTACATAAAAATGTTGGTGAGGAAGTGTCGTTTTCATTGCCTCTCATGAGAAGTTTTCTTAACTTTTCAGAACGGCTTCCTTGAAACTAATTTTTTTTTTCCTCTCAGTATTTGTTGTAAAAAGGCTTCTAATACATTGAAGTGGCTGTTGCAAAAGTTGCATGATTTATTAACGTTCCTTATGTGCTAGCTACAATGTGGGCTGATATAAGATGCGTTTGTTCTCTTGGCTTGGATCTGCAAAACAAAAGACAATTGCTGATTTTAAAACTGTATGCTTACGTAGACATAGAGAAATGGTAAGTCTTATTTTGTGCTTTGGTATTGCATTATAAACAGATAATTGTTCAAAGAAATATAACTAGTTCATAAAGCTAAAGTTATATTTTTTAAAATGTACTGTAATTTGAGAATTACAGTGTGTTTACAAGAGTGTATTTGGACAAAAAATAAAGGAAAAAGTAAAGTTATGGAAACAAAGAAAAATTTCCAGGGCCAATGGAGATCTGAAGTGTAAGCTGCACCTTGGAAAATTAAGCTTAAATATATTTCAGATTGCAATAATCCTAACTTATTTCGATTACAAGGAAAAAAAAAAATCTTGTAAAGCATTTTGTAAATTGTGTTTCAAATACGCTCTTGTCATTTCTGTGACAATGTTCATTTAAACAACTCATCAGGAACGCACAGCCTGTTTCATAGGCTTTTCTCTATGCAATGGAGGGATGTGCTTCATTTTCCTGTGGTGTTTGTGTGTGTGTAATGAACGCAGAACCACCAAAGCTGATCATCACATCTTCTGTTTCTGGGTAGAGGGCCAGCAGTAGCACAGCCTGGCTATTTTGATGTCCTGTCAGCAGAGAGTCTGAGTTTAAAAAGTTCAGTTTAGACCTGAGGAAGATATAAATGTCACGGTTTTGGGGCTTACTGATTGGAGAGTCAGAATGGGAGGATGGTGTCTGTGCTGCCAGATGTGTGCCTCTAGTGTCGCATCATTCCCATTGACTGCTTAACTGAAGAAGAAAACTTTGCTAATCTTTTAGCAGTTCTCTGAGCCCCCACCTCGTTCCTCCACTAATGGCAGCAGCTTCTTATTCAGGGGTCCCATAGTGAACTTCCGTTACTAAAGCAGGTTGGATTTTTTTAGTATACATCTTATACATTAAATTCTATGAATTACTAGTAAAGGAAATAAAGTAGATGAAAACCGGCCATTGACTAATTAACCTAAACTATAATTAACCTATTGCTTAGGAAAATAAATGTTTCCTATAAGTGAGTGTTCCTAGCCTTTTTCTTTAAGGCCTTAGGTTTGATCAAAAGATAAATACTGAGAATAAAAATACAGTATAAATTAGGAGGTTTCTTGGACATTTTTACTGACACTCTTGCAAAATCAATGATTTATCACTGTGTGAAGAGTCCCATAAGGTAGAACATTACTGGAATTATCACTAGCATCCTTCTTTCCCCACGTTACCTTTTCCCTTGGTTCAGTGGTTTTAGGTCTGCTGGTTTTTGAGCTAGTACGGAATGCCAAATGTGGGGTTTCGAGGCAAGCAGTGAGCTGGGTGTCACCACCGAGAATAGGAAAACAGCCTTAAAATCAATGTTAGTGTTCTTTTGCAATAGTGTAGAGAAGGCTATGGGAACATGAAGTAGTCTCAGTTTTTGTTTGGCTGTGTTTTCTGTCTGGAGACCTTGGAATTCAAGCATTTCTTCTCTAACTTCTGGATCCCAAACCTAAAATATCATCTGCGCTTGTGAATACTTCAGGTTTCTTCACTGTTGTTGATAGCTGATGGATACATAGATCACTTACAAGCACTGCAGATTATGAGAGTATAAATCTGTAAACTGTTCATATTTAGTTGTTTGTATACTGTAATATAATTTTACTGCTGCTATACGGTAATATGACAATTACTGCTGCTACGTAATATTACAATACTATCATACTGACAGTTCTTCTCTATTAGCACCAGTTACAATGTTAGCATACCTACTGCTTAACTTGCCCTATGCACTTACCCTATCACTGCACTTCGTTAACATGCTTTAGAATTGGATGTATGTTTTGCACTTTTAATGAGAATTAATTTTTAATACTTTTATTAACTTCATGTTGTTTCAACAGCCTTGGAAACAATTCAGCATTTTGTATTTCATAAACACTTTCATAATAGTACATTGGTTTTTGTCATTTTATGAACAAAATTGTATGTTTTTATTCCTCTAACTCCCATGTATCTTGAACTCAACTCTTACGTAATGGTCCTTTATTTTTCTCTTGGTTATAGGATATAATTTGATGACATAGCAAACTTTCTTCAGTACAATTTAAAACTTTTGCATTTTTATTCTGGAGCTGTAATGATGCAGCTCTAGAAACACAGTATTTAGAATACACATTGTCAGTGAACCAAGTACGAACTCTTGTTGTAATACAAGAATACTATACCACTTTCTCTAGGCCTCTGGCCCCAAGTACTTCTCCAAACAGAAACACAGGTGAAAACTGTTTTGTTACCCAAGCATTGGAGTTGTTCACATCTCTGCTTACTAAGCACTTCATGGAAAAAGTACTTAGACTTCTTGTGTGTAAGCATTGCAAATAAAGGTAATGTTGGCAATTCTAGCAGGTGATATGTAGCTTTTTATCACCAGCAAGAAAGCTGTTGTATGCACATTGACTATGAGTCCAGTCCAGGCTTTGCTTTTTCATGCTTTTTTTTTTTTTTTTTTTTTTTTTTAAACAAGGGTGCATTGCTTAACACTATGAAATGTTTCCAAACCTGTATTGACCGATTCGGGTTCTCTGTAGGGTGTACAAAGTGTTGCTGCGAGCAGAACAAAGTTGCTTCAGAATATTATCTTGGAAGTTCTATGACTCATGTTAAGAGAGTGACAAATTATTAAAAATGTCCTGGAATCATTAGATTACTGTCCTTTATATGTATTTTTGCTCTGAGATGAGTGTTCAGCTACAGGAAGAAATGTCTTTTAAGAAAAACTCCCTTCTCCCAAGTTAGGTAGTTGCAGATTGGACTACAAGAGGAATGTCTCTTGTACCTAACTAAGTATCTATTTGCAAACAAAACTTAATTTTATGTGTGGTCATATTTGTCTGTTTGTTGCACATATATCTGTATTTATGGATGAAATGCCTGCCTTGATGTAGTTATATATTACTTTCAGTAATTTTTCTTTGAGAAAGACAGTATTTTTCTTTAAGTTGGGGTTTTTATATGGGCTATCCAGAAAAAGAATAATGCTATGCCATATTGCCAATTATTTTACTACCCCCCCCCATCAGTGGTGGTTTAAAAAAAAAAAAATTAAGGTTGTTTTGTATCATTATTTGAAGTCATATTCCATAGTGTGGAATCTTTATTTTACAATGTTGAAATATGGGTTTAATATAGCTAGCTAAAAGGGAGAAAAAAAAAATCTAAAATGAAGGTATTGACAAATGCTACAGATTTAAGGTGTGAAATCTTGATGTTTTCCAGAGGTAGAAAATGAGAGTTGCCTAGTGTAGGCTTTTGGTAAGGCTGTGTCTTCAAATGAAGGCCTGTGAAGTGACAGCTTATCCTGTGCCAAGGCAGTGAGATAAGGGATGTCAGAACTGATCAGTCCCCCCCCCCCCCCCCCCCCCCAAAACAAACAAACAAAAATACGAACAAAAAAAAAGCCAAAAAAAAAACAAAACCAAAAAACCTTGGTAGTTTGGAGTCTCTTCAAGCTCGTGAGTGAGTTGCTAGGAAGATGGGTTATTAAACAGTATGGGCAACATGGTCAAAATATGTAATACAGTGTATCTTACAACATTGTTGTTCATTGTTAGATATCTAACATGTATGTGCGTGGATGCAAATATTTTTGATGTATACAGTTGTAATCATACACACAAATTCTAGTTACAGCTCTAAACATATTTGAAGTGTAAGAGATTAACTGTGTTAAAAGATTTCAAGTTATAAGAGCAAAGGTATTCCATGCAGGTCTTGCTATAAATATTGTTTGTACTGCATTACTTAAACACTATTGCTACCTTTGTTTCTGGAAGGTGGATTAAAAAACAATGGGGGACATGGTAATTGCAATTTAAATGGTGAAAAGTTGCAGTTCTGTCATGGCAATTGCTCATTGTTTTGTCTTGGTCCTCTGACATCATTGTCCTTGTCTTTTTCTTGTCTCTGCTTTCCCATTATGCCATTGGCAAGGAGTTGAGAAGTTAGTCCATTACTTCTGTGATAAAGCGTGGTACAGTACAACTTCAGATTTCTTCCCATCTCCTCCTCACGCATTTTCACTGTTGGTTTTTATACCCTATGCATGATGCATGTCTATCGGAGATGTGCATGCAGTTCTCAAATTTCTCATTGCTTCACTTCCCTCGTTTCTCAAAATACTGCAGGGACAAAATGCCTTTATTTCATTCTACAGAGGTATTATATAGAGAATTGAGATGGGGATTGAGGTTAGAGATACAGGATAACCAAAACAAAACTGGAGGGAATTTTAAAGTAGTGATATTGCAATGAATATCACTGTCATGACCACATTGATTGAACTTCTTTATCAGTATAACATGTCTCAGTTTTCCAACACAAAGCCAGTGCTATCTCAGTGGTTCAATAACTGTGTAGTAATGGTAATCCTCTTTGTGGATATGTTGTCATTTTTCTCTGGATGATGTAACAGCCAGTTCTACCTGAGAGAAATAAGAGAAAAATCTCTTAAGTTAATGTGGTAGGGACTGCAATTTAATAATTTTGATTGGTGCATCAATGCATACAAGTCTTTGAAGTTTTTGCTGCTACAGAAAAGTCTAATTCTTTGTTGTGCAAAAAAAAGCATGTGCACAAAACGTTTTGTCTAATGTACTCTCAATTTGGGGAGAACTAATTTTCTTCAGTTACGTTGTACTTGAAATGTTTTAGAGTCCAACTTTACGTTTTAGGAGCATCCCATAGGAATGCAGGTGTTCGTCCACCTGAGTATTTTCTTCATGGGACAAAACCAGAAGTCTGGTTAGCATAATAGTCTACACCAAGTCATGGTCTATCCCACCCCGAAATATTACCGAAAGTGCACTCAAAGCAATGCAGATGACAAACTTTTTTTTAAGACTTCCATGAAATAAAATACTGTGCCTAGAAGGTGGAATGCTTCTTTATCTTTCTATTCCCCCTCCTTCTTGTGATGGAATTCACCAAGTACTAGTCCTTCTGCTGGCTGTTTTTTTGACTAATAACATGGTCATAATTTATTAAGACTTCCCTAATAAAAGAAAAACTTGTGTATAAGGCAAAGATGTAAGCTGTGGATGAAGATAATGCACTTTTCAGTGTTAGATACCTTGTGAACTGTTACTTGCATATTTTGGAAGTGGTGTTTTTCTGCTTTCAGCGTCATCTTCAATGTTAATGCATGTAGCAATTTGAAGAGGTTAAAATCTGTAATTATGATAATTGGACAGACTTTGACTAAGTAGAAACACAAAAATAGAAAACAGTACAGTATTTAAAACAACTTAGCAAAGACGATACCATAGCTTTAGTGTTCTTATAATTCTGAGCATGTAGCTGTTTTCTACCTTTGAATTGCTAACTTTCTGGATATTAAGCTGCTGAGACCTTTCTAGGTTATGAAGGATAATGAGTAAAATAGGTATTTGGCTATTTTTATATTTAAAAATGCAAAATTGTGCAAATGGAAAAGCTCAAATAATACCTAGTTTTTGTCAAAAGAACTCGAAATAGCATTATCAAAAGCTTGCTTCTTTGCTGTATTTCAGATGGTTTTGTGTTTAACTCAACTTTCCATACAGATTTAGTTTCTTCTGTAACTTACAAATTTTTCATTTTGCTGATAACTAAGATTATTTGGTATAAAGTTAGATTTGTAATGCTCAGATTAGATATTTATCTGCATTTTTGAAGACTGGCATTTAGAAACCCTTTCTAGGTGAGGGGAAAAAGTTTTCTGACAATTATTTTTACATATTAGAATTTGACACAATACTCTTTGCTATAAATGTACTAATTTTTTACTTCACGTAGGATTAGAAAATTTGAATTACTTGTTGAAGTATTTGTATGGAAATCAGGTATATAGTGCTTTGGTTTCTGCACTCATTTTTAGCGGTTTTGTTTTTGCAGGTGAGGTCTCAAATCAATAAATCGTTTTGGCTAACATCTGTCTGTCAGTTTGTAAGCTGGAAGGATAATGACTTCTGTAACCCATTACATAAACACTGAAAAATGACAAAAATATCTGGAGGATTAATTTTTTTTAAGCTGTAACTCTCTATGTGTTGAATTATTAATTTTGTTTAGTACTTCTTTCCTGTAGGATTGCTTGGTTAAGAAGGATTCACAAAGTTAAGCTAGTTTTGGTCACATTAGGAATAATGTTTTGATACTCATTTTGACACCATTTTGAAGGCGCTTTTTTCCTTATTCTCCTCCTCCCTCTTTCCAAAACAATCGTATTCAGACTGCTCAACATATTTGCACTTACCTGTGTCTCACTTGCTGGTGTCACTGGTCCAGCTTAGATGTTGCCTTTGCTTACAGGTAGAACCGGTATATTCTAAAGGGGGAAAAACTACTAGTAAACCAAAATTCAACTGAGAAACCTTGATATTTCTCTCATTACCATTAAATTTTTTTCTTGATGAGGAATTTTGAGGATTCAGTTTTCAGTAGTAATCCTGCCAGGGAAAAGATGAAAAGCTTGAAGAATCCCAAGACGTGCTGTCGTCGTTGATTCTAAGAAGAGCTAAAAAGACCAGACAAATAATTGGCTTTCTCATTTAGGAGTTGTGAAGATTTCAAGAGAGTGACTGAAGTGACATTTTTAGTCAAATCTCTTAAAGACAAACACTGCTTCTTTTTTACTGACTATATTACGCTAGTAAACAAATATTATAAGCCTGTTTACTATGTACAGGCAATCGGTCAATTGGTAAGAATTCAAGTAGTTTAGGGATAAGACTAGCTTGTAGTAGTTCAGTTCCCCTCCTTTATAAAGAAAATGAGAAAATCATCCAAACATGAAACTTGCTAAAACTATAGGTTTTGGGTTTTGCCATGAATTGCAGAATTTTTAATAATTCTTCCAACTTCTTTATAAAAGTTGCAGGTCTAGGATGTGTTTGTGAAGATAGCGCACATATTAATCTTTAAAGTCTTTTTACAGGGAAGAGCAAAGAGAAAATAGAAATGACCCAGAAGAGGTACTGGCAGTTCTCTTGTCTGATACATGTCTGATCAGATTGTATCTTCTGAAAAAATGTAAAATTAAGTTATCTTTATCTGTTTGTTATCAGTGTAGTAGTATATGATCTCTAACTTCACATGTACTTTGCTGTACTGCTTTGTTGAAGATGGTTTCTTTATCAGCCCATTTGAAATCCATTCAAGATAAAACAGTTACCTAAGTCCAGTCAGTAACCTAATTACAACATACCCGTATCGAATTTTTCTGACCTCAGTAAGGCAAGGAAAATGCAATGTAAGTTCATGTGGTCCATTAAACTCCTTTCCTGCCTGTACAGTATGGAACATTGATAAAAGGTTTGGGATAGTTAACTTGAGTATGCAGTGAACAGAAATTAAGATGGATACAGTCTGATAGCCATTGCATTTGTTTATTAGGGACTTGAATCGGAATTGATCAGTACTCATGTGCCATCCTTACGCGGTCCTGCAGATTTAGGCAAAACCATCAACCATGCCTTTTTCATGTTTCTTTTTTAAGCTAATCAGTTTCTTTTTTATCTTTATGTTGTTGGGTATTTCAGTGCTAGTATATTTTTTTCTACTTAAGTTACAAGTCACATTTGTACATGTCCCATGAACCATCCTGTTTTGCCAAAGTCAAAGTTTTGATTTAAAAAAAACAGATACACAGCCCTTATCAAGCATCCCGTCAGCGCACATTGGATTCAGAATGTTATCTGGTGTTATCTTTGCCTAATATATTATTGTATTCTTTTCTCTTTAACAGCCTCAAGTACTACAGCCTTCCAGCAGCCTTCCCAGTTCCACAGACCTCGCCCAGGGAAAATTAATAAAAATGCCACATATCGAGGCCCACAGTGAATATCCTAAACATGGTCTGCATGAAAATAGCAATCATCAGAATCAAAATGCTGCAAATGCCTCTCTCACAAATAGCCTGAAAGATGTAAACACTTTAATGAGCATACAGTTAAACATAAAAGATGAGAATATATCATATTTGGAAAATTTGAAAAATAAAAATTCTGAAGACCCTGGCGAGGTTGCTAGTAATAAAGAAGGTGCATTACCATCTCGTTCCTGTTTTCAGACCTCTCCACGAGCTGATGCTAGAGAGGTGCAGACTGAATTAGCTGTGAAAGGTCAACCCTCATTCACAAACCAGGCTTCTCAGCCAAAGACTTTAAGAATCGCAAAGCCCCCAAATGCTTTAGTGCCTCCTTCAATGGCCGTTCTCGCACGATCTGCAAACCATTCCGCTGCTTCCAGGGAACCTGAGCTTCTACCATCAAGTAGTTCGACTCAGCTACAGCCAACATCTGGTCAGGATAACCTAAAGGGTAAACAGAGTCAGAAAGTGTCTAAACTTCGCCCACCAACCATGTCCTTTGTTAAATCTAAGCAAATGAGCAGTCAGAAATCCACACCAGTATCTGCAGAGCCTCAAAACACCTGTTTGAAGACTAACATCCCAAAGCCACCGGTACAGAGAAAGGAAAATGCGCAAACACAGAATACGAGTTTGCATGCTGGTGATAGTTTGCCCGCTAATCGGCATTGCCTCCTCCCTAAACCAAAGACACATTGAGGACATACCTACAACTCATTGAATGATGCCATACATTCAACTATTTCCTATGTATTGACTGCCTTTGAGGCTGCTTTATCTACAGCCTGCAAATCCTGAGTTGATATTAAAAATAGCATCTTTCTTTAGTGTTTGCATACTCCATCCTGTTATGTTCTGAGGCTCATGTTGTGAGCTGTGCAGCTTCTCTTGAGAGAGTGTTTTATTATATCATAGGTCTGTATTAAAGATTGTATTGCCCGGTGATCTTGGTAACTAAGCAAATACTGAAGTCTGTGGTGACCACAAATACTAGAATGCTGCACTATGTGCTTCAGGATGGCAGAAATAATTTCTTACCTCTGTTGATTTGAGTTATTAGACAATGAAATTACTATTAAGTTTAACTTCTTGGTTCTGAGTACTCGCTGGGTTAGAGTGGTGGAAAATTAGACTTAGTAGCAGATGTTTTATTGGCCATAATTCTGACTCTGTATTCCAGAGGCCTATGCAAAAATCCTTGTATTTATCATTATCTCAAGACTGACATATTTAATGTTATTTAATCTGATGGGTTGGGTGGGTTGTGTTGTTTTGTTTTGCTGTAATCTGAAATTGCTCTGTTCCTTATTTATCCCATTTTCACTGTTCACAGACAATAAGCAGATTTCACAGGGTGAAACAAATCTTCTCTCTTAAACATCATCATTTGTTAAAAGATTGTGGTATGTTTTTATTGTGTTGAATAGACACATTACCGGGTAGATTCTTGAAACGCAGTGCTAAGGATACTTGTGCAAAAACCTTCCAATACAGGCTCTTATGAATTGGTAAGTAGGGAGCCTCTGGGAATAAGGGGTCCATAACACCTATGTCGAGGTTGCACAACATCCATTTTAATTAATATTTTTTAACTTTTATTGTACTACTTGTATTTATTGATTTCTGTTTAATATTGAAGGACTCTAAAGTACCTGACTTGAAATTTTGCACAAACTTTACCATATATGTAAGGATTTGAAACTATTTTACAGAATAAAACTTGTATTAAAAAAAAGCAACTATTTAAAAATAATTAATTAACCCCACTTACTTGCTTTGAGCAATCTTATTATGTCCTAATCCAGAGCTGGTACTCTTAAGAGTTTTTCAGAGATGTGTATTTTGTTTTTGGGGTTTCTGTAAATTTTTTTTGTAACTTCTGAAGTAGTGCATGATAACTGGGAAGGAGCTTTTTGGGGAAATAAAGAAAAAAAAAATTTCTGCTCTCTAGGAGAAGTATTTTTTCTGAAAGTGGTCTAGAAATATATGCCCATCATGGTGCTACTATGGGGCCATGACATATGTACTGTGAGTTAAAGATACGCATATCCAGTGAAGCTTTCCAGAAATGTAATGTTATGTTACAGCTCTAATTCTTCCCTTCTTTCCTATCACTGTCTCTTGGATGTTACCAGTTGGGTTTTTTTTTTTCTGTTCTTGAATTGGTTTTAAAATCATCAGCAGAAGGCTGTTAGAATAACTTTGCTCAAAATCTGTCCCTGAACAGCGTATAATGTCAGTAAAATGAAACATAGTAATAGTTTGTTCTAGGCTTTGGCTATAGGACATTGACATATTACAGTATTATTTTGAGAGAATTAAAGTGAATAGGTGTAGACATTTCATAGATAAGATCAATAATCATCTTCTGTAATATAAGCCATTTAACTAGGGGTATCCTGATGGATACCTGAGTTGGATGGGAGAAGGAAAAAAATAGAATCATCTCACCTGAATTTCTCAGTACATAATTAATACGCAAGAAAGTTTTTTGGATTTGTCACGCTGTAAATTCTTTTAACTGACAATGAGGTGGAAAAATGAAAAGCTGGGAGAAAAATGGGTAGGGGGGAGGCTCTATTTCAGAACTGCTTATATCAAGTTGAAGTAAGAGACCTGCAGGACTTCCGGTTAACTGGGGCGAAGACAATGTACGCACGAAGTAACAAGAGTAACATTAATTGTTACACTTGATATAGGATGAAAATAACTACAATTCAAGATTGCTGTAACAGTTATTCTCCAGGAAAAATTCATTCTTTCCTTGAAAAGCATTGAATTAGATGGCCTTCAGTGTTAGCATTTACTTTTGTTAAGAAAATAAAACTGAATTTTTATATTCCCCAAAACTAGCTCCTGGCAGCTAACTGTGTTTCTCAGGAGTTTAAAAACTGCTGAGCGAAAGATCAGATTCCTGGTTCATTTTCTGGTCCATATAGATTTCTATGGAAGGTGTTTTTTTTTTTTTTTTAAGTTTACTTTCCTTGAAGAGAAGCTGATTTTATTTTTAGTTGTATATGATTTTGTATAAAAAGATGATTTTCACTTAACGCTATTGACAGAGATATTTCACCATGAGTTCTTTTGCTTCTTATTCTGGAGGTGTCACCAATCTGATTTAGTGATGTTAAAATTTTTCTGTTTACATTTAAAAGTATAGATATCTATCTATCTGCACCTTTACTGAAAATTAAGGAACGTAGCAAAGAGATGATCAGGGTTTTCATAAAAAAAGATAGTTCTTAATTTTTTTTCCCCCAGAAGGACAAAAATATATTTATTATGTGGGGTTATTTTTTTCTGTGTTAAAGGAGCATAAGTAGATTATATTCTTTGTTATATCATTTCCCCATTTTGTTCTGACAGATTAGTGAGACATTGAGCTGGAGACAGCAGGATTTGATCACAGATGAGACAGATGCTAGCCTGAATTTGTATTCAGCTGCTAACCTCGCATCCCTCTAAAGAAAACTACATATTTTGGCTCTTCAGACTTTACCAGGGAAGGCTCTGTTGCATGTATAGTTAAGTCCAGAGTATGAGCAAAGCCTATCAGTAGATGGGCAACTGAAAGAGAAGTAGCGAAGTGAAGTTTGAAGCTTCACTTTGGTGAAGGACGGGGGTTGGGGGGAGATGGATAAGAGGGTGCTGTGTAGAGCTTGTCAAATGGGATTAAGTATTTTCAGGTAACATTATCTGCCTTATGGAAGGTGCAGATATATGATCAGTACTGGTGCAGATTATCCTAAATGCATAAATTAAAGGATTTGATACCTTCAGGGTTTTTTTAGGTTTCTAAAACTAGTTTATTGCCATTTTTTTGTTTCTGATTTCTCATTCTTTTGTGCAATATTCACAAAAGTATTAAACTACTGTTCAGTATGTGTGTACAGAGGCAATTACGCATTTTAACAAGTGAATAAACACAAATGACAAAAACAGAATTGCACTTTAAATGAGCTTTATTGCTTGGAGTTGTGCCTAAAATAATCTAGATGCCTCCTGCTGTGTGTGGCTTTTGTTTGAAACTAATTTCCCTGCTAGTGTTGCCGTTTCCAAGGTATCTTCACATCACTTTCACAGAATTGATATGCACTCTAGCATGTTTAAAAATATTCATATAGTGTACTGAGTTTTTGTTGTGCAATGACTTTAATTTAACTGTGGAATTTTAACTCTGATGATGCAGCCAGATTGTTACCTTCCCCTTCCCTGAAGCTGGCACTTCCTACTGCCAATCAAGGCCGATGGCAAAACTTCCCTAGGACTAGCATAGCCCTTAAAGAATAACGTTCCCAGCGTATGTTTTTGTTTGAGAAAAGAAGTGCAATAGTATCTCTTAGGCTGTCTTGAAATAATCACAGAGGCCCTGAAAATCCAAAATGGCCCCGAATTCTTCATACGGTTCCAAAAAAAGTGGGTTCCTCAACTTAAATCTCATAGCAGTGAGACTAGACATAGCAACTAGACTGCATCACAGGTCAGTAAAATTCATTTCATCCTTGATCTAAATGCTGATTTGTTGTAACGATGCTAGAAAACTGAATACCATTTGCGTGATTTACTTTGTTTGCATGTCACAACCATATGCGCATTCTGAAGTGTCATACTTGGGTAGGTTGCATGTTGGGGGGGAAGTATTTCTGTTCTTGCACAAGACATGATCCTCTTAATGCGGACATTTTTCTTGCCATACAAATGGAAATCCATTCTTGAATTGGGGTTCCGTAGCTATTCCTTATCTCGTTATAGTGGCTTTTTCTGAGCAGAGTGGATTTAATACATGACCCTGGTGGTAGGACTCAGTATAGTAATCTTACAACTATGCTATCAAGGAAATTCAGTCACTGTTGTGGTAAAGCTGCTCACTGCCTACTTAATTGTAAAAGCACCACAATAAAAACAATATAATTCCAGTGTCAGTGAAATCTTAAATTCAATACTAGCTAAAACAAGAGGTACCCTTACTATCTGCTTTGTTGTTTTTGTTTTTTTAACCCAGGTCAGAGTAAATACTGTATATTGGAATTTGCTTGTAAAGTTGATTTAAAGACCTGTTATGTAAAAATTCTTTCCTCAATGTTGCTCTAGTGAATAAAAATAAAAGTCATAATTCTAATAAGTATCTATTTCTCCTGACTGTTCACTTCATG